CGTTCTTGCTGGTGCTGTTATTATTGTCACCGTCATCATCATCTTATTATTGTTAAGAAGATTTGACGTAGCTTTGTCTTATTATTATTATTATTAATAATATTATTATTATCATCACTGTATCCATCAGCATTAGCCTTTCCTCTCTTCAGTATAGGGCTTGAGATTATTGGAGTTTTAGTTATTTTTACCTCGTCATGAACGTATTCATTTCTATTATCGTCATCACTGTTATGACCTCTTTGTCACACATTACCCCTTTTGTCTTCCATGATCCTCTAATGAACAAACTTTCTCTTCATATAGTTTTATCCACCTGTTCATACTGCAGGTTGCTGCTGTTGTCGTCCGTTTCTTTTCTCTCTGCCGCGTTCCCTTGTCCAATTTCTTCCTCGGCCAAACTACGAAATCCCATCAATCTCTACTGCTGTCACTGCGTTGTGTATATGGCATTCATATTATTACTATTATTATTGTTGTTGATGTGATTGTTGGAGATGTCGTCTGCTAATTTTGATGTTGCTGTTAATGCTGCTTATGATCATGACTGTTAACGGACTTCGGTGTCTTTCTTTCTGTTGTGCGTAGGCCCCTATAACTTACCGCTCGTCTGTGTACAACAAGTACCAGTACTGTAGTTTTATCATTTCGCCAGTTACCGCGCGCGTCAAGGGCACCAGTTGGCTGCCTCTAACGGAATCGATTAAGTGATCCGATAACTGTAGCAGACGACAAATGTGATGTCGTCGTAAGCCTAATCAAACCCGTTTAACCCTAACGAATCTTCAGCGGAGGCCTTTCGCCGTTATATATTCCGTATACTTGTCAATAGATGTCTGTCATATGTTTCTGGCGATGCCTAGTTTGTTTTCGTAGTATTTTTACTTGAGCGCTTTGCGTTGCTGGTTTATAAGCTTAGACTTATGTGAATAGAGCAACAGATGTAGGTATGCGGATCTGGAGCTCACATTGTATATCGAACAATATAATGGCGGTGACAGTTGGCGATTACTTGCTTCTTTTAACCAATTTCGGACTTAATTTATTTTCCCGAGGCTTTTTGTTCCTGAAACCTGCCAGCATCTTCGAACCAGTCACTAATTTTTCTTTTCTGGTAAGATATATCGATGTACGCCAACCTGGTTGTAACGTAAATTATTATTATATGCTTTATTGTAGGGGCATAGAAGACGTTATCTTACTTTTATGATCAATATGTTATTGTATCATTTGCTTATACATTAGGAGGGGGTAATCTAATGCGTGTATTTCTTTCGAAAATTGTCGTTTTACTGTTGTAATTATAACTATCATCGTCATATTTGGTATCGTATATCGACCATTTCTTACTTTTTTTTATTTAATATGGCGTCACAAATTTTCCTATATTAACATATAAATATTAAACGTGTATTTATCTATGTCAGGTTCTAACAATTATTGGCAGAGGAATTTACGATCAAGGAAGGCTCCTAATCTATTTGTTATACTAAGTGATCTGTTTTTTAGTGTTTTTGGCGAAATTCATTTAAGTCGTTGTGGAATCATATGGGACAATAGTTGTGACACCTCTCACGGACTAGCTACAATATGGCATTGGCCTTGTAGAGAGTGAAATCGCAAAATACGTCTAATTTTGGCTGGTTAGGTCAGGAGTCTTCTATGTGTATTTATACTGTGTCGTAGTGTACGTAAGCTTTCATGTAGCCCACCCGAATGGTTCTTAGCCACGGGTGAGAGTTCGCAATGTGTAAGTCATCATCGAGCTAAGGTTACTAGATGTAGATGTCTTTTAGGGTGTTTATGGGCCTCAGGGGTCTTGTTGTGTAAGGGTGTGGCGCACCCGTCGTCTGTGTATGCATGTGTGTGTGTGTGTGTGTGTGTGTCTATATGTCGATTTTTGCGTATGAGTCGTAATGTCTTTCTTTGCATTATCCGTATGTTTGTGAGGAGAGAAATGTACGGATTCGTAGAATAAATACTGAAAAAGATACATCTAAAGATTTATTTGCAGCAGTAGCATTGTAATACAATGGAAAATAGTTACATACGATGTCGACATTGGAGGCCGTCGATCCCATAAATCGTATATTCGTTTGCTGTCATATCTTATCGCTTGTTTCGATGAATTGATAATATCATTGTATTATTAATAATGTCATAGGCTGACATATCTCTGTATGTATTTATATATGCAGTCAGCATACTGCCGCTGTCAAGGGTTTTCTGCTCACCTGTCAATGTTGTTGTCGTCTAACACTGCTCCCCATATGAAAACTCAACCTGCAACACAACTTCTACAGCCTTTTCATGGCTTTAGGTACTTTACACATTGGATCGTGCCGCGCCTGACTATTAGCATCGTCCAATTCATCCTTGTCCTCTACAGCGGCTCCTCCCGAACTCAATCCTGATACTTGCAGTTGTCCGTAAACATGAATGCATCAATAAAACTGTCTAGAGGCCATGTTATATAACGTTTTTTCTTTCTAATATATATATATATATATATATATATATATATATATATATATATATGTATATATATATATGTGTGCTTAGCTAGCCATTGCCGGAGCAGAAAATGATACCGCTTTTGGTGGGGGAGTCGTCGACAACGTTGACCTGCTTTCTAGCGTATAGCATAAACATTTAGGCATTATTTTCCATATGGCACTCGAATCACGTCCAACCATTCTGCAAGTATTGGCTGCAGATGGTCGGCAAACTGTTGTTACGCTGCTGTGAAAGAACTGGCATTCGACTCGCTGGACGATGAATGGAACACCAATGGTGATTGGAATCAATTTCTATCACATTATGTTATCGCTGATAGGTCATTGTATGTCTATGCGTGTGTGTGACACCTGAACCAATTCAAATTTAGCCGAAGTAAAACAACGGCATCGTACAGCCTTAGAGATGATATTGTTAATTCGACGACAAAAAACGTTGTTTCAGCACACGGTATATAGATGTTTGTTCGGCAGTTCTTCCACAGTTCGCATGATTTAACCCACAAACCTCTGCATTCTATCAGCCGTAACTGTATTTTTCTCCATAACGGCCTTTCTTCATCATTATGGCATTGTTTTAGTTTCGCCCGGCTATCTTCCTTTCGAAGCCTCCGATTCGTCCATGACAGTGGCAGATAACTGCGTGAGTTCAGCGGCGAAGCTGCTGTGCGGCATGGCAAAATCACTTATGATTATTAGTATTTGGAATATTTTTATTTTTTGTATATTGCCTTCAGCAATGACATGAGACCAACCATCAGTTCAATGGAGACGTGGCCTATGTCCTGAATGGCCTATGTACAGCGCCGTGGATTCGATCTTTGAAAGCCGGGTGTTGCCTGTTGAAAACTTAATCGAAAGGTTTTGTTATCGTATATTGATACGATAATTCTAAATCGCAACAGTGGCTCAGACCGAATCCAACGAAAGAATGGACTATCAGATTTGCTTTAAGTAGGAACATGATTTGTTTGAGAGTAATATTAATAATAATAATACTATTAATATTATTCATTCTGTTGTTTCCTGCGTTTGCACTCTTGTATACCGACAAACCCGAGATCAGCGCGTCCTTACCGAGAAGTATAATTAGCATAACGTAAATGAATATACACTGCGTCATGCAAGAATGCTGCTTTCAATATAATATTGACGTTTGCAAAAGTCATGCTACGTTTTAATGCTAAAGTAATGGGTCTCCCTTAAGGTGGAGCTCTTTAGGAAGTTTCGTTTGCGAGCGCGTTTCTTATCAATGCGTTCATATCCGTTCCGTATTCAAAACCTCTCAGTCTCGAGTTAGTCTTAATATTCAGTGACAGGAGACATGGTTAAGCAGAGTTCCAACGTGATCTCGTCCTCAGCCCTTAGTATCGTAACACTCGCGTTTTCCGATTGTTCGGCCAGGCTATTCGTTCCAGGCGTATTGCATGCTCGGGGAAAGCTGACAATCCCGAGTTTGTTTTCGACGCCAGAGGTGCGTGCGTAGAGGAAACTGCCTTTATTATGGATCAAACGAGGTTCTCGTACGGTACTTCTCCGCGGTTCTCGCAGTTTGAATTGGAGCGTTGAAAATTACCACGAGCTTCTTCACTCTGCGTTGGTTTCTAACAGTTTCACAGTATGAACCGATCGCTTCGACACTAGCAGACGACGTGGCAAATAGGTCTTACGGCTTTATCGGCTTGCTGCTGTTGTTATCTGTTAGCTAATAGTACGTGTACTCTAATTACATAATAACTCCTCTTCTCATCATTAGCATTCTTGTCCCATGTATCATATCATCGCCAATATGTTCGTTCTGTATTAGTCGTCGGGAATGGATATACCAAGTCGCCAGGAAATACTGCCTGAACGAAAAAAGACGATTTTGCGTATGGAGCCCGATTGCTTTGGGACGGCTAATCTCTGACCTGAGTGTTACTTCTTCTTTCGTATAGAACGTATTTCAGTCTGACGTAAACAACGGTCTGTGAATGTGGTTACTCATTACCATCGTACTCGTTGTTCTCTCTGTTACACGGCTCTTAGCTCGCTTATCATACATGCCGAATTTTTCTTGTTCGGTACCACCAGGTTGTAGTAGTTGCCTGTATACTTTCGAGTGAAGGCGCTGTTATCGATCGGAACTCGATGATTTGACGGTGATGCACGTCCGTCTATTCAAGTGATTTCTGGCTTGCTCGGCCATCGCTATCTGTTTGCCTTCTTCGCCTTCCAGTAGTGTGTTATACAGACTCTGTTCTACTTCAGTCTGCTTGCAAAACACCCCGCGCGATGAAGCATGGACTATAGTTAGTAATAACCCAACGTTTCTCTAAATATGTTAGGTATTGATCTGATGAACGTTTATAGCACAATTTCGCTTTCTCAAATCAATCGCATGTCTCGTTCGCTAAGCAGTATTGTTAATTAGCTGCAATGCAAGCATCAAAATCCCTTTGATATGGGAGCTACAGATAAAGTACGATCAACGTCACCGAAATATAATATTACGGTATTCATCACACTATTTAGTTTATTCTCAGCGAGGTGATAAAAACACATTATGCTAATTGTAATTATAAAAGTAATAATTCTGAAATACATCCATTCTAAGCCAACCACTCTTTGCTAGAAGAATATGCCTCGTATGGAATCGGGACTGTTTACTGCTTCGCCATGATATTTGTCTACGTGTCTACCGCTTGACAATATTATATTGTATAGATATCTCTACTTTTGCCGTATTATCCATATATGCGGCAAGGTTAAACAAGGCATAGATATCGCTTGCCGTTCCGCTCCCCGTTGTTATCGTTACATATTACTGTCGCCATTATTCGTTGCCCTACATCGCCATCACCTTTATCACTGTTTTATTGATATTACTTTTATTATCATGTTTATTGGTACTGCGTATTTGTTGTCTTGTTCCTTTCCACCCTCACTTTTCCTCCTAATATCCTTATCGGCCTATCGTATTCGTTGTCGTCGCATGATGAATCTATTGTTGTATAATTTACTGCGTTTATTACTCCTTGTTTTTCTTGTTTTATAATAATACCAGGCCTCTAATGGCTGTCCCTGCTATAGCTATGGTAGTCGCTCGTATTTATCGCTGTTACCGCCGTCGTAGTTGTGGTTGTTATCGTTGAACTCGTCCTGATACACTTCCCCAGGCCCTTTTCGATGTCCTGCAACAGCGGCCGCTGTACGGTCTACTGTATGGTCGTCATAAGGTTGTCATCACCCGTCGCTTGCCTGCACGTCTGTTCCCTGTGTCTCGAAAAAGAAAATACTGCGATACCACAACCTGCCAGGTTACTAGCCAGATAGACCAACCGAAACAATGTGTCGTTGCGTAGAAAAGCCATCGAAGGCAGAAAATGAGGTCTTACAACGAAAGCGTTCTCGTCTACGATGAAGCCGATAGCTGTGGGAATCGGTTTCTCGTCAAGAGGTAAAACGAAGCTATAGAAAATTCGCCCCTTTTTATTTGGCCTGCTCGGTTCATTCCGATATACCTGGTTGTGTGTACGCGTGTGTGCCTATGAATATATTCTGGAGCCATTGCTGCGGATGCCTCTATTGGTGTTTTTGTACATTGGTAGGTGGGTGGATGGGTGTATGTACTCCTTTCTATGTCAATCTGTCTTAATCGATTTTGTTTTCCCTTGAAAGCTTTGCAATGTTCCTATTTTTTTTCTCTCTCGAGTGTGTATAGTCTCTCGGTTATGACCGGGCGGACAATGCGTTTATCGCACAACATTGAAGTGTTTGTATACACAAAATTATCTACATAGAGCGTTATTTGGAAAAGACATTGTGTGCACGGCGAATAGCCACAGGACAAAATTTTCACTCAGCATCGTCACTTCGAGGAAATAATAATAATAAAGTAATAGCTTTAAAATCATATGAAGATATTGATAATAATATAAATCAACACACATGCGCACACATGAAATAATACTACCTGTGTCAGTTGTACAGACCGGTAGAGATGTATATATATGTATGCATATATATATATATATCTAAAAAGGGATATAACGAAACGTAGTTGGCAATAATAATAACAATGATAAAATAATATAATGCACTCACATGCGCGTGGATCGTCTAAGAATATACAGATATGGCTATATTCCGCTATATATATGTATATATATAAACAGAAATGATATAAATTAGGAATCATCCACCAATTTCAGATCGTTATCCTCCTCTCACCGCTTGATAGCTAGGAATTAGGGATCAGTGCAGTATCATCACTGGTCTGAGCTCGTTTTTGGCTTCGTATTCAACTGCAGGCAATTGGATAGCCCATGGCAACTGTAATGCCAACACAAAAGACTAATTTTCTCTCTTCTTTCCTCGCTATCTCTGTTAATTTTTGTGTTTGTATCCTTAACGAAAACTTACTTAACGAAAATGATACAATCAATGTACATAAAAGAAGAGGTCGTAGGTTTTAATGGCAAGCGATAAGCGCGCCACCCTTCATCGAAGCGTCTGCTCAAAGTCAGACTTAGTCATTGCACGAAGTCCATGTTGTTTTGCTTTTGCGTCACTTAATTTTCACTGATTTGTTTTCATCAGTTGTCCCTTGAGTAGGTAGCAAATATTTACTTCTTGTTTACTAGTTCAGGAGGGCTCCGTTTAGAACTATTTACTTCATTAACCGACTTCTATTGTTATATCCCCGGTGTGGTTTTTTGCGATGTGTAATATAATAAAGGACTGAATTTCTGTGTGTGTGTGTGTACGTATTTTTGTATGCACGTGTGATCTTTCTGTTTTTGTCGAAGGCGGAAGCTTTTGTGTCTGAGTGTCAACCATATTACAGCGTTACACTTTATACCGACTTCATTGAGTTTTGATAAATACGGTGCGAGTTTTTCGGTTTCATTAAGCGGTTCCATTGACAATTATGGATTGTGTTGAGTTACGATGCCAACTCAACAGAGCTGATGTTGCAGCTGCCGCAGGTCAGAGTTTTTCAAGCTTTTCATGCGCTTCTCCTGATCTTCGATTTCGAATCACAGTTTGCGCTGGGAATGACGATCTGACCCTATCGACACTCAAGCTCAGTCTCAACCCGCAGTCTTCAAGCGCGTCACTATTATCATTCAATTGCAGTTGAATTATTGTCCCTATTGTATACTTTTTTCATAATCGATATAAATAAATCTTTTATCGGGTATCTAGACTATGCGACATCGATCCACCTTTAGTGCCGTTGCGGGTTCCTGGCCTATTCCTTATTTTGTGTACTGGTTCGGCCCAGTTTATAACCCGCATCCGTGTTCACACATAATTTTACTATATATTTTTTACTCTTGTATTTGTTATTGCGGCCGCCGATGCACTCTTGTCTCGTGTGGAGAATAGCCTTTCCTTGGCGTTTGCCTACTCGTTGACATAGTTACTAACACCGGCTAGCACAGGACAAGCGGCCTAAAGTTTTCCTTCAGTTGCGGTTTCTACTCATCGTATCGTCGCACTACTCTACTATATTTACCATTGCAATTGTGGCTAAATATAATGGGCTGTCGGTGTAGATTAAGGTCAACGGGTGTACTAATAAGCCATATTGAGAAGCGGTTGCTAAAATTGGTCACCTGTGGTCAGCTATTTGTTCAAAATAAGCGGGTCATCCGGAGCAGGCGTCAAGGTTTTCCTTTCTTTATGCCATGGAACATAATGGGGGTTGGAATCTGTATGCGTTGCTTTACTATTTATGTGCATCACCTTGTATTTGTACAATAGTCGGATATTGCATTGGTGAGTTTAGGAACAAGAGAAGTTCCTGCTGCTCCTTAATAATTAGTGTCATCAAGTATTATTTTCGGTCAACGTACATCTTTTTCCTCTGAGTTTTATCGCCATTTCCGGTGCTTCTCCCTCGCGCGCCCTCTGCTCGTTGAAGATTCATTGACTATTGATTACTATCGTCGATAGGATGACTCTCGCTGCCGCAGAGAAGTATAAAGGAACTATTATTGTACAATTAATGTTATCGTATCCACGAAAGAACGCATATTGTAATAATGACGTGATGGCAACTCATCATCGTCAGGGTCATCATCACCATGGCTGGTGATCGATTTTCTGTGTTAATTGGTGTGTAATGTGGTTAGTGCTGGTATGAGTGTGGCAATACGCACTACCTCTTGTGATAACGGGTTGAACCGTTATGTTATTTACTTTCGAATCTTCGGTTCCTTTATTCGTTTCTCTTTCTTAACATGTTCCTCAATATTTTCCGTTGAAGTTTCCTATTCGGTGACTTCGATTAGATAGCTTCTGTTAGCAAGCTTCTGACCGTTTTTTCGCTCGCCACTTTGCTCATTACCTTTTCTCCATTCGTCGCCCTTTCCCTCCCTAGGCGATCGACTCCTGCAATGAATCGAGGTACTCCGCCAGCTTCTTACGATTGTTATTGTACTGTCTCTCCAGGCGCCTCCAGTTCAGCGTATCACTATTGTTGACATTGTTATTGTTGTTGTTTGTCGTTGGGTTGTTGTCGCCGCTGCAGCCGCTCGCGGTCCCGGTCTGACGGTGCGGGGGCACAGGGGGTGGTTCCAACTCAAAACCCTCAGCCAGTTCCTCTTCAATCGGATTTACGATGATGCTACGGGTGGCACAGCTTGATGGGGAGACGGCCTGCGACTCGGCCGCTGATCTCCCAGCGGACGGCGAGGCGCCTCCACTGCTGTTACTCCCATTTTCACTCGAGGACGACGTTGGTGATGAAGAGGTGGACAATGCAGACGACGCCGATAACACCGACGGGTTCGCTTTAGATCCAGCTGATGACTGGAGAGCAGACGAATCCAGTCGGTCCTCAACCTCCGCCAGAAGGTTCGGTCGTACAGTCAGCTCGCCGAGATCAAACAGCGTGTGCTGATGATGCTGTTGCTGTGGTGAATGCTGTCTCTGATTCTGATGATTGTGATGTTGTTGTTGGTCGTGCAGCAGACCACTGGCGCCCGCCGAGATCGATTGATCACCCGCTGGCGAGTTACGGTTGTGGCCACTCGCCACTCCGCTGTCCGTTGAGGAAGACAGAGCTTTTTCCACCCCGATGCCCTCCGCGCCGCCGCCGAAGATCTGGTTGAACGAGAGGTTATCGGCGTTTGCGATACTACCGTTGTAGTTGTTTCCGCTGTGAGAATGATTGTTGCTGTTGCTGTGGCTTTTATTGTTGCTGCTGGCAAGGGCAGGTGTTCGTCCGTCGGCAGCTGCTGCGGCTGCCATTTGCATAGCAGCTGCGTGCTGATTCATGTTGATGCTGATGTCGCTGTTGTTATTGTCAGCGGGAACATTATTATTTCGAACATCAATCGGTTCGCTGGGTAGAAGTCGTGTTCGGCCCGAAAGAATGCGCATCTCGGCCTGAGACGAAGACCCATTCTGCCGTTGCAGATTGTTGTGATGCTGGGCCGACGACGACGACGACGATGATGATGAGGAGGAAGCCAGGTGCTGTGCCTGCTGTTGTCGAAGCAAGTCGCCGTTCTGACAAATATTGGCGCCAAAACCATCGCTGCAGACAAAATTGCCCAGGTTACGGTTGTCGAGGTCCCCCATCGGGTTTACCACGATGTTAGCGAACTTTGACACGTTCTTTGGTCGCACAGCCTGCTCAAGTGTCTCCTTCGATAGCCAAACCCAATCCTGTGAGTTGTCTTTGCTGCTTTGCTGTCGAGTATTTTTGATGTGAACAGCGAATACACTGCATGAAGCTACAAATGCCAGTAGAGCCATGCAGAAGACACCGAACAAAGTGTACAGACCAACTTGAAGTGGGCTGCCGTTCAGATGGTTGAGGTGGTGCGCGGCCTGAGGATAGTGGGCGTTCTTGTGGATTTGCGGCTGTAGTTCGAATGTGACAGCGGCACTGTACTTCCGAGGAACCTGAGCGTCCTGGTAGAGATAGTTGTCCGGGTTGGTGAGCATACAGGAGACGTAAACCGCTGCGTCCTGGATGGCTCCACCACGCTTCACGCAGAGATCACTCGTCTCGAGGGTGACCGAGAGTAAATCACCAGAACCCTGGCCTACGCAGATGATTCGTGGATGCGCGCCAGTGTTGCCGATCTGGTTAGGTGCGACAACAATCACGTTGGAGTCCAACGACTCCACGCTTATGTTGTATTCTGACGGATTGAAATTTTCGAGTGGCATTTCGCTTCCATCGGAGAAACGCAATGTTACATCAAGAACAGCTTCCTGATATCGGGAAGTCAACTTTTCGTCAATGGAGACCTTAGCCAGATAGATAGCCCTTTCGGAATGACCGTTACTACTCTCTCTGCCATTTAACGAGGCGCTTTCAGTGGCGTCTGAGCTCACGGCGAGGTTGAGTCCGGAAACGACTCTCGCATTGAGCGCCGTAATCACCTCCTTTTCGGCGGTGACCCTTACCGACCTTGTCGCGAGAATCTTACCGGTTGTCGGAGATACCACTTGGATGTCGGCCTTACCCGGGTGCACTCCGCTGAGAATGTTCGGCGTCACGAACGATGCGACGTGTGAGTTGGAACTCCGAATATGAACCATATCAGTTATATCGGCTATTAGGCGACGCTTCCCTAGCAAATAGTTTTCTCGGCCAGAGTTATGATTGATCGATACGAATCGTGTGTACACCTTGACAATCGATTGCTGGAAGCGAAGTTTGCATTCGTCCTTTGGAAGAGCATTTCGGTGATAGCTGTGCGGAGCGGTCGCTGGCGCATGCCATTGCTTGATATGGCTAAGCTTCTCATCAGAGACGCTAATCGTGAACGGCGTTTCGGGTGTCCATACAGTGAAATGACTTTCACTCATATGTCCCGAGTACTTGACGTGAATGGAAACATTAGCCGATGAACGTATTTCCGAGCCGTCGAGATACACTGATGTGCAAGACGGGGATACCTTCAGGACGGACTCGTCGCTTGAATGGCAGGCCGCTTTATGGGTAACGTCGCTCATTTGACCGGCCTCAGAGATCATGATTAGCTTGACAAGCTGTGACACCTGACTTCCTGTGATAATGGCCGTGTTAATTAGATCTCGGGTTTTCGTGATCATTAGAATATTCTGCACTTTATCCTTCTGCACGTTGAGCTGCGACAGTGCCTCGACGCGCTCATTAACAACCCACTCGATTGTCTGATCAGTGCTCACATCTGGCTCAGGATCGACGCGGAGCAGTACGTCAAAAACATGCTCCGCTTGGCCTGACGATGAGATCGTATCCATCGGATTGTCAATACGGCTGCACGAGATGCGGATCCGTTTGTTTGCAGTAGTCTCAATGGCTACTTTCCACACATGTTTCGCTACAGGTTCCAATCGCTCAACTTGTAAGCCGCCGACCAGGTTAGCACCAATCGAGAACTGTCGCACGCCCTGGCGAACAAAAACGGGCGCATACACAACGTTATTAGGGTAAAACGGCGTTTCTGGGAGGAACACCTCGACAGGGGACTCTTTCAGGGTGATCTTCTCATACGTCGCATGTATAGGACTTAGGGGCAGGCGTGCAATATGCTTCGGTGGAGATTCCTTGGCTGCATTAGCTTTTAGCTCAGAATTAAGCCCGCCCATCTGACAGTTCAAATCATCGGACGTCGCATAGCTAAGCTCAATATGTGGCTTACTTTTCTTTCCCATTTTATGATTGCCAGTGCTACTGCTGCTGCCACCCCCGTAGGCGCCTCCGCTGCTGGATCCTCCGTTGCCACTTTCCAACCACGCGGCTGGCCACCAGTCCGCAGGAACGATTAGCTCGGCCATGCACGCAGAATTTTCCTTGACGGGCTGGCATTTAGCCAGAAGCGAGGCTTTCTTCGAGTCGGCCAGCTGTCCGTAGAGCGTAATACATAGCGAACGGAAATCCCGTTGGTTAGCATGGAACACGACGCGTACCTGCGGACTGTGGCGGTAGACCACGCTGTGCACGACGTGTGCGGAAACGTCGGCATCCGAACGGTTATGGTAAACCGTCTGGCTGGACGAATACGGACCAAGGGTGGCCCTCACTGTGGCGCGATTCGATGAGATCAGCGCAAAGCGTACCTGCGACGGATCGACGGTGTCGTTGGGCACCGTTGAAAGGAGTATCTCGCCTTGATCCACTTGCACCCGTTGGGCTGAAACTCCGTAGACCGTTACGAGGCTAAGCAGCAGAACGAGTGCGTTCATCGTTGTGACGTTTTGGGGGTTCGACGTATTTTTAATACAACGAATGTCAAGTGGCTTGTAGGCTTTTTGCGACGCCTTTTCGCCCTCAAGCAGCTGATTATAGCATAGAAAAATGTAAAGGCTTACTGGCAAAGCTACACCGCCTGGGTTTTAGATCTGTAGGTATCCTTGGGAAACAACACCTCTACGTCGTACCAGTCCAGTCGATGGTCGTAGGTAACAATACAAGTTGTTCACTATAAAATGTATCTTGATATTCGTTATCCGGTAGGAAATGCACACATATCAAGTCGTTTGTTTCGATCTGACTTCTAGGTTTAGGGCCGTTGCGTCAACGTCGTCACGTTGCTTAGCGGTGGTAGAACCCACGTCGCTATGCCTGCTACACTTAGCTAGGTTCTTAGCGAACGTAGCTTGGCCTTTCTGTCATTGGTGGTGGCGAGGCGACTGACTCGTCGCTCACTGCGGAGTCCGCCGATGCGAGCACAATTGCAAATGGAGACGCAAACTGAGACTATCCTTAGGTTCACAATTGCAGTTTTCACGTTTGTCAAGTTTCACGTTGAAAATCAGGAACGACACTCTCCACTTCAGAAGTCGAAGTGTGTCAGCTTTCACACACTTAAAAATGCACTGGCGTTTTTGTCCTTTTCTTCCTCGGTGGCGGCTGTCTCTCTTCCTGTTTCTCCTTGGATTTCTTTCTGTGCGTTCTCCTGTAATAACACACACAAACCACCAGCACGATTATAAGCTTAGTAAGGTTTACGAATAATAAGCAACCTAGAGACTGTCCCAGACACCGTTAAAGTTTCGATTATTACGGGCCGAAAGGTGGTTCCGGAACGTACGTTGCCGCCGTCTCCACAGCGCAGTCCCTCTGCGGTAGTACACGGTACGAGTCGTGCTCGATCCCCGACCCAAAACCAGCAAGCACGACCACCTAACCGCTAGTCGCCCACCACGAACTGGGTTTGTCGCCAAGGACAGGCACCAAGCGCCCGTTCACTCAACCCGAATTAGCGGATCACCCGTGGAACGGCCTACTCAAGACTATATTGTGAAGGAAGGACCCTTCGACAGCGAGCCGCGGCACAAATTTAGCTGCTGCTGCTGCTGCGCTAGCGATGCTCTCCGAAAGAGAGATCACAGTGTGGCCATATTGGCTCTCTTCATTAGCTGCCGTTGGCTCGTTGTCGCTGCTTTAGTCGCTACCGCTGACGGTGCTGCTATCTGCCAATTCGCCCGCAGCTCACACTCAACGCACTGCGTTCTTTCATGGCACTCAGCCGGTCTTCCTGCTTGGGTAGAAGGTTCCTGTTCGCTCAGTGCTCTCTGAAATGCTAACCCCTAGCGATGGCGGAGGTCTGCAGCAACTGCCGCTGCCTCTCACACAACCGCACACCCTCACGGCAGCTAGAGCTTATTACACAGTCACAGCAGCACTGCTACCGGAGATTTGGGTAGGAGCGCAGCATTGTATTCGCTCGCACAGAGACATGTACTCACAGGCAGATCTTCTGTTCATTGCAGCACCAGCAGCCGGAGCGCCAGTAGGGTTTAGTAGCAGCAGCTCTTTAACCAGCGGAGTAGGGTGAGGGCTTGTCTGAGGGAGGGTTTGCGCCGGAGTCCGCTCTGTGACCACCGGCGAGTTCGCAGACCGCAGCTTGAGACGGTGCCCAGCAACACCGCGTAGCCGACAGAGTCAAAAACCACGAAGTAGTTAGATACGACTTGCGTAGGAATCCTCTTCTCTTTTTCGCGCTCACTCTCTCGCCGTACGTTCATCCGAGAATACATTTGGAGCTATGGTGCGGACACAATCAGACACTCGTGGAGTTTTTCAACTCCGGTTGGTAAACGCGGGCTTTTGCGTTCGTTTACAACCGCCGTTTGCAACTCACAACTGGGCTAGGCAACGCATACGAATTTCGGATCTATTCAAATATCATCAACTTTGAGAGCTGTCTGGCAGCGATGAGTTCTTTTTAGTACCGGTAATCTTGTCATTGATTTCTAAATATGTCTCCTATTCAGTAGCCCATTTTCGTTGAGATAGTTTTGGCAGGACTCGATCGAAGTTGTACGTCAAAGCCTCATTAGAAGGTCCTTTTTAGAACCTCATTCATCGTTCTGCTCTTTATCTTATTTTAGGCTAGTACTTGTCGCTGCTATGAAACGATGGGAAAGAAAAAGAGTGTCCCGGCAATTCGCACTTTCGTTTGAGAGAAGGCCGCCTGTCATTTACTGGCACACGGGTCGTCCCTTCGTTTATGTCGGCGTGTATCTTTGATTTCTTTATTATCTCGATATTTAAGTTTTAGCAGAACAATCGAACAATGACCTTTTGATTAAAATTAGCTCTATTTCGATTGAAACCATTTTTGGTTAAACCACCCGTACGCAGGAACTAACTCTCGAGAAACTTAAGAAACTTCAGTTCTTTACGCGCGCATCACACAGCCCGTCCAATAGTGGCAGTATTGGTACACGACACAACAACTCTAGATAGTTGGGTGATTCTATTAATAACCTAGCATCTATACGTGTAGCTCGCAGCCAAAACCGGTAGCAGCGTTTTGACGACGTATATCCATCGATCTCGTTAGCGTATGACCGAGCCCCAGCCAGCATACCATCAGTGGCAGCGGTCGGTTAGGAAGTATCTATAGGTTGTATTAAATAATGCAAATATAAAGCGTCTGTGCCCACACTCTTTTTGTATTATTTGTGCTAAAGCTGTGGTTTGCTGCTGTACGTGTATCTGGTTCCGACTAATGTTACTGTGGCCTGTATTGTGACTGTTGCTGCTACGCTTTTTCGAAGTGAACTTTACGGCCGTAAAATCCATTCTCTAAATAAGCACACTCAAATTGTATATACTGCTTTCTACGCGTCAGCTATTCCCTGTCGTCTTTATCGTCATCACGAAGTATTTACTCAACAATCACTAATGCCATCACCGAAAATGCCGACTTATTTCTACCAGTCCTTCCACACACGCTTAGCTACCAATCGTTCCGCCATCATATCGACTCGTTACTGCGTTGTGCTCTTCCACCAAAAGACAGATTCACATAGACTTCGATCGACACTTCTATTGACCGACGCCGCCAAATACTCAGTCACGGCGTTGACTTACCAGCGCCGCGCCAGACACATTTCGACGGTCGCCACGAAGAGACGAAAGGGGATGGCCCAGCACTGGCCTAAATTGCCAGCTACTTACCTATATATTTAATTAAACTAGCGCCTTCTAATGCTAGGCCAGAGCGTTTGGTACCGATTGGCTTCGCAGTTTGTTCACAGTACAGCAGTTCGTCAAACTAAACGAAGACTCTCATAAGTTAGCAGTCGATAGAGACCTGGGCGAGGTCAGCCGTACCCCTACGACCTGACTCTCATTCGCGGCTGGATTATAGCCGCTGAACAGTTTTACATTCGACCGCTTTATCTGCGAAATAACTCGAATCGACTTTTAAACATAAAAAACGATGACCAGAGTCTAACGAAGCAAGACAGGAGCTGGCCGGCATAGCATCAAGCGCTACCTACCGGAACCCCAGACAGTTTCGAGCACTGCAGCTTCGTTTATATGTTACTTCCGAAAACAGCAGTGATCGTCAAAGTAGATCCGCAAGAGTAGAGCAGATACTTTTGGCCTTGGTGCAAGGGCAACCGAGCAACTCGTATTCGCAGTCCGGATCAACTTGTCATGCATTTCTTAAATTTTTCCCTATTTTCTGTCCGCTTTTGGAAGCAGAGCCCCAAGGTCACCATCGGCTTGGGCATAAGCGCTCACTACAAAATCATAAAGAGCTCTAATACGCGTAGGTGATTCGATTTGTGGGGGTATGGCAAGCTCATGCAGGCCTCACTAACTCCGTCGTTTTTGCCGCTGTCGAGCATAGTTGCTGCAACAGTCGAAACAAGGCGAGGCCGACGCTTGTCAACTTGCGGTGGTGACCTCGGCGGCGGGTCGCTTGCAGGAAAGACATTAGTAAGTGGCGAGGAGACTGCCTTCAGTAGCAGCTACTAAGGGAGTCTGAGGCCGGCTACGGACTTGAGGTGGGGGGGCGCCGACAAAGCTGAAATAGGGGAAGCAGAGACAAGCGGATAGAAACAGAGGAGGAGCCGGACTTTCGCTTCGCGCCGCGGCGACGTGTATAAGCGCGGGTGGACAGTAGCAATATGAAATGGACCACAGCACTAGCGGCGAAGAAACAGCCGCAGCGGAAGGTATGAAAAACAAATAGGGGAACTACCGCTGGTGCCAACGTCCAAACGAAACCAATCAAGCAAATGGCTAAGTCTCCAAATTCGAAAATCTGAGAGATTTTTCGAGGCGAGTAAATAAACGAACGCTAAAATAATTAAAACGGGTCGGTTGTGTGGAGTTATTACGTACTGCTCAGTTTCCGACTAAATAATAGCGCAGGAGAAACAACATGCCGTACTCTGAGAATAATTTACGCTAGTTCAAAGTTACCTATCGCTTCGGCTTTATTGAGAACAATATCTGGTATTTCGAAATTCTTAAGATCAGTGTTGTTAGTTACATCTCAAATGCCATGTATTACAGTGCTGACTTTCTGACGTGTTTGACTTCTGATCTGTAAGTGCCTTTCAAAATGTTCGTAGCCGACCTCGTCCGTCGTAACCTCCCACATCTGGGTAAACTCCCCTTCATTCATCAGTTTAATATTCGTATCGTAAACACGACTGGTTTAATCGCACCAACAACTAAATGCCATATGCCCAACCTCGCTCAGGAATCGCTAACAGCATGTGACCGGTGGCTTGAAAATCTGCTCGGCATCATCCCGTTGCATCTGTCCGAGATGATAAACCCAGTAACAAAGCGCACTTCCGAGTAAAATGGGACGAAGTATAGAGTATCTCGGTAGGTAACAACACCGTTAGCAAAAAGGAATTGGATTCTGTGGCGGAGACTCTTTCAGTTTATTCTGTTTGTACTAACGAGTGTGTGAACTTGTCTCAGAACAGACTCAGTGTCGCCAGACGAGCAAACATTGACATGGTACCGCCGTATGCCTCTTCGGTATTGTTACTACAGTGACAAGTGCTTCTGCGCAGTAAAGTCACATTCATATCTGCACTCTCCATTGAGTACTCATAAAAGACCAGTAAAGGAGCGACGCCAATAGACACAACGAGACAAAGAGAAAAACGAATAGAGCGTCATATTAGATAGGCACTAACACACACACACACACACACAACTTCCAGTTTTGTCGTTTTTTTGCCCCTGTTGGGCGACGCTATACGGTGTCGCGGAGGTGGGAGAGAATGGGTCGATCACGAATTGGGACACGTTTTGGTCAAGAGTATCTAAACGAGGGTGGTAGAGAAACTATTAGCTTCTCTCTAACCAATCCAACGCCATTATGATAGTCTAGGTGTGTTACAGCCGTTGTTTCGAAAGCAGGAGCAATCGGGAGTAAATATATGCTGAGAAAGTGGATCATCAGCTCAACAAGAATTGACTTGAGCTGAACAATCTTCACTGTTGTATTATAGCTATTACGTTCGCATAGCAGTATGTTAGCACCGTCGAACAAATAACGAATGGGTTTTGCGGGTAGTTGACGTTTGGCGAGTTTGTGACTCTTACACTAAACACTTCTAAACTTAACCCCGTGCCCGCATTAGATTTTGAATAGCAGCCCAAGCCAGGCTACATGATAAACGTTAT